TGTGTGTGTGTGTGTGTGTGTGTGTGTGTGTGTGTGTGTGTGTGTGTGTGTGAAGGCTAGTCCTCCATGTACACTTCCAATCTTAGTACACATTAATTCATCTTCACACACATTGGGATCCAACCAAACTGGCCTTACTGTTCCTGCCATGATCCTCCATTCCTATCTCTGTGCCTTTGCCCTGGCTGTCCCCAATGTCTGGAATGGGCTTCCTCCTCTGCTTCCTGGAATCCTCCACTTCCTTCGAGGTTTACCTCAAGAGCTACCTTCTAAATGAAGACTTTCCAGATGCCCCCGTTACTAGAATGTCTGGCATCTATCACAGTTACCTAGATGAGTTCATGTGGTCTCCCCTTGCTAGATTTAGAGGGAAGGAACAGCTTCACTTTTGTCTTCATATCTCTAATGCCTAGAACATAACAGGCACTTGCTAAATGCTTGGCAATGGAGTGATTGATTGAATTGATTGATTAGTCATAAAATTCTCTATATTTCTACTAGGAAATAGAAGATACAGAAAAATGGGAAGTGAGAGTCACTAACACACTGATGAAGTTGAATCATCTCTTTCTTGTGACTAATGATAAAGTTTCTGGCTCTCACACTCTAGAGAGTTCCCCTTCATTCAACCAATAATAACAATAATAACTTACATTTATATAGTGCTTTAGGGTTTACATACATTATATTATTTGATTCTCACAACAACCTTATGAAGTAAGGATTTGCCTCATTGCACTTCATCTGAAAAATGGGGATAAGTGACTCATCCAAGATTACACAGCTCATAAGTGCCAGAGCCAGGATTTGAATCAAAGTCTTTTAATTCTAAATACAGTCTTCATCCCAACCAACAAAAGTAGTAAAAGATGTTTGTCAGTGCTCCCTTAGCAGCACATAAGAAGGCTCTTTGGTCTTTTTTTATTTTTTAGGTTATACATGTACAATCATGTTAAACATATTTCCATATTAGTCATGTTGTGAAAGAACAATCGGAACAAAAGGGGAAAACTATGAGAAAGAAAAAAACAAAAAACAAAAAAATGAAAATAGTACGCTTCCATCTGCATTCAGTCTCCATAGTTCTTTCTCTGGATGTGGATAGCATTTTCCATCACAAGTCTTTTGGAATTGTCTTGGATCATTGTGTTTCTGAGAAGAACTAAGTCTATCATTATTGATCATCACACAATGTTGCTATTACTGTGTACACTGTGCTCCTGGTTCTGCTCATTTCACTCAGCATCAATTCATGTAAGTCTTTCCAGGTTTTTCTGAAAGCTGCCTGCTCATCATTTCTTATACAACAATAGTATTCTATTACATTTATATACCGCAACTTGTTCAGCCATTCCACAGTTGATGGGCATACCCTCAATTTCCAGTTCTTTGCCATCACAAAAAGTTGCTATAAATATTTTTGTACATGTGGGTCCTTTTCCCTTTTTGATCTCTTTGGGTCCTTTTTCCCTTATGGTCTCTTTGGGATACAGACTCTTTGCTCTTGAAATAAAGTTTTTCTAAGGCTGTTCACAACATCCCAAAGGTATATGGAAACAAGACAATAAGTTAACGTAACCAACTGTTTCTTCTTCTGCCTCCAGCAGTCTGGAGATAGGGGAAAGGAATAACCCACTTTCTTGTTGAATTAGCTTAAAGGTCAAAATTAACAGGCAAACATGTACCATTTCAAAAACGAGAAATCTGAGATGCAAATGATTTTTTGGATCACTGGTAGGTGCCACCCAACTAGGCTTGCCTGTGTACCAAGTCTAAAGGACGGTACAACATAAGGGTGGGCCCTGCAGATCAGCCCTCCCACTGCCTGCCTCCGAAGACTCCCCCATCAGCATTCCACTATTGACTCAGCTCTCCTACAGAAAGCCATGCATGAGCGAGGTTACAGGAGCCATTCTCTCTGCCCTCCTCACTGTTAAGAGGGAAAAACACCTGCCCCTATGTCTGAAGGACAAACACTGCCTCAGTAACAAGCATACAATGCTCATCTCTTTCCCAGCAGGACAAAGCATTCCAAAGAGTAAGAATGGCTAATTTACAAGTTTTACTGAACTTTTTTCCCCAGGATGATAGTGAAATGCTTAAAGCCGACAAGAGTTACACTCATCTACGCTAAACGTTTATGAGAACATCAATATTTGATTTAGAGCAGCACTTAATGCAAAAAGTCACAAGGAATATCGACCAACTAAGTTACTACCTCTCTGAAGAAGAAAAAATTCCTTTTGTTTTCTAACTAGAATTATCTACCCACTCATGAAAATCCAGTAGTAGCTAACCCCCTGTATTTGGTTTTGAGACATCCCATTCTCTATGAGTTTTCATGCAAATTGTATAAAATAAGAAGCATTCCTCCCTGTCCCTGACCCATGACATCTGAGCACAGCTTCATGCTAAACTCATTGTACACCTCCTTCCCTTCATTTGGTCAATTCTGAAACACTCAAAAAGGTTGGGAGACTAGAGGTTATGAGATGTTATTTGGCAAAGAATGAGGAAAGGTAATTTCTTTTTTGGTGAGCAAGAAGCATATGTCAGAACTGATTGGTTCATACATAATTTGGAAGTAGAAAAATAAAGACGAAAACATGTGGACTAATTGTTCACACTACTTTTTCCACCAGTGAATAAAGAAATCACTGTCTCTCATCACAACTTGATTGCAATCCCACCTGGGCTTTGGACTTCCTGGACAGCCTAATTCAAACTCCCTGTGCCTTAGTTTCTCCACCTGTACAAATAGAATACTACAATATAACTCAGTGATGTTAGGAAGATGAGAGTTAATAAAGCACACTAAATCATCATGATAATACCAATTAAAACAGATTGGCAAACACTTCATCTGAGTGGTACCTCTAGGGAAGCCCTATCTGGCCCAGTCACTGAGTCGGCCTTGTAAATACACATGTGAATGACAACTTGGCTGATTTTCTGATTTCATCAGAGCCTGTGGCTGAGGCTCCAACTGTGAGTCAGACAGTCCAATCTTCCAATGCTAGGATGCACTGGAGTTTCTTCTGCTCTCAAGCCTAAGGGATAAACTCAGTTCTGTGCCTCAAAGCAATGATGATCTTTTGACAAGGTAATTATCAGATCCAGCTGCACTGTACTCTTGGGGAATCAGCCAAAATATTTATTCATTGCCTAGAAATTGTGTGTCTGTTTGTTTGAAACAAAACACACCCAACCACCCTCCCCCCCCCACCTTATCCATTTTTACCACAGTCCTAAAATGGAAAGAGATGGTAAAACAAGATGACAGAGTTATCATCCTTGGGATGGGTTTTTTTCTTTTCACTATTGTTTCTAATTATATGATGTCTCATCAAGACCTTGTAGGGTTCTTGGGGTCCAGTGTGAGTGGAAATGCTGTCCCATAAGAAGCATCTCTATCTCTTAAAGTGGTTAGTGATAAGAATATGATGCTAGAATTCTTGCATACAAACAAGGGTTGAGAATGAATGAATGGGGGCAGCTAGGTGGCGCAGTGGAGAGAGCAGTGGCCCTGGAGTCAGGAGGATCTGAGTTCAAATCTGGCCTCAGACACATAACACTAACTAGCTGTGTGACTCTGGGCAAGTCACTTAACCCCAACTGCCTCACCAAAAAAGAAAAAAAGAAAAAGAATGAATGAAAAAACATTTATTAAGCTTTTACTATATGCTAAGCACTGGGAAAACAAAGAAATAAACCATGACAGTTCTTGCTCCCAAGGAGGTCACAATCTAATGGGGGAGACAACATATAGAGGAAAGTTCACCTTCAGAGAAAATCAAACTAAGTGGTCCTTAGAGTGATGTACATCAGGGTGAATGGCAAGGCCCCAAATCTCCTCAAAGCAGGGAAGAACAGTGTTGCAACATGGGCATTTTTTCTCTGAATTTCTTGCTTTGGTTTCTTAATAGCAAGAGGAATTCTCTCTTCATTATGTGAAGAATAAACATTTTAATTTTTTAATGCCACCTTTAGTGCTAATATATTCATTCATGCAGAAAGCCTAAAATGGTTCATCTCTCCATCCCCATTTGTTGAAATCCTATAATCCTTCATGACCCAGCTCAACCACCACCTCCCTGGATAAATCTTTGCCAGATTCCCCTAGTGTAAAATCATCCTTCCTTTCTCTGAACCCTAACCACATTCTGTACATCATTAATACACTTACTATGGTCTATTTTAGAATACTATTTTTGTGAGTGTTGGGTGTCTCTGTGTCCCCAACTAAGCGTAAGCTTGTTATCTCCCCCTAGTATAGGGTGAGTGTGTATGAGTGTGTGTGTGTGTTTGTGTGCGTATGTGTGAGGTATTTGATAAATATTTGTTAAATTACATGCACAAAGCTATTTTTAAAGAAGAGGATCTTGACTGAATTATCATGTGGCACTAAAGATATATATGTGGATAATACCACTGAATCTTTCTCTAGTTTCAGTGGCTACATCAGAGAAAGGGACTTACCAACAGCTACTCCTGGGGGGCCACCCACTAAACCCCCAACAAAAGCCACAGCGCCTGCCACCAGCGCCCCCTTCCCTGAATGCTTGAAGGCAGCCTTCATTTTCCTCTCCTCCGAAATAGTGCAGAGTAGTTTCATAATGTCTTCTATCATGACTGGCATTCTGACTGGCACAGGGCTCCCTGGAAACAGAGTATTTTAAAAGAATTAATTTAACAGTATTTCCATTCAAATGTTCACCTTCCTAGGCTACTGAACAAAATGAACCCTGTTTTCTGAAGAGAGAAGTCTCCTGGGTACAAGACAGAAAGGATCAATTTTTGTGAAAACATCTCCTCAGATAAAGAGGAGCAGAGTTTAGTTAATAAGCAAACAGAAACAGAGCCGATTAAAGGTCGTCCTTGCTTTCTGATTGACTGCTGATTTATGACCAGATTTCAAAAGCAACCACTGCAGCCATCCATTATAGCATTTCCTCATCCAAGTAAATCAAGTCTGTCCTCTTGCATCAGCCATTTTTCTACTGAATCCAGCAATCCCTTAGTCCCCATATGAATGGCAGAATTATTAAAATTCTGGTTTCTATTTTTTCCTTTCTGGTACAATTCATGTCTATGTGAACACAAAGGTAGGATATTTATGTTTAATGGGTCATTGCCTCTACAGTGGCCTTTTTTTTTAAAGCTACCAGTGCTGAAAGCAGTGGGTGTTTTTTTTTTTTAATACAAAAATCAACAGTGAAAATCTCTACTAAAATAGATTGCTGTTATGAAGTAACTCAAGAAAAAAAAATAGCAAGAATTAAAGTATTTAGCTGTAATTCTCTGCACCTACCTGACTACCCAGATAAATACTTACTTAGGTAGACACACATTTTCACTGGCAAGATAAAGAACCAGCTCTATAATTGGCTCACTTTAAACCACAAAAGAGTATACTGTTCTATGCCCCTTTACAAAGCAGAATTAGAGAGTCCTCAGGCATTTAACTATATTTGCAGAATCCTAGAAACAGAGAATTTTAGAGCTGGAAGGGGCCTCACTTATTGAGGCTTGAAAACAATGGACCTAATTGCGCAAACATTTTTAAACATGTTGCTACATTCAGAGCACTTTCTACCCCAGAACACAGCCCTCTCATGCTTAGTTTTTACATTTTTGTTTTCCCACAGGCCTTCTCAGGTCCAGAACATGTCAACCTTGTGCAAGAAAAAGCAACTGGGGAAAGGGTATGAAGAATAACTGCAGGAAAACACTCTGTTGCCTAGGAATCTTCTCAAAATGACAACGCAGGCAACTCTTTTTGAGGGACAAGGTCAGACAGGTTCTGGGGCTGTAGAGCGAATTAACTCTATTAAAACCCAAGGTGCCTCTCTTCCCTGACCCTTCTACAATAATACTTGCAAGCTTTTTCTATCAGAACGCCATTCCACACATTCCTCATCTGTTCAGACATTATCATTTAAGCAGTTCTTCTATTCAGCTGCTCTGGGGTGAGGGAATGGTAACAACTGCGTAGAAACCTACATACTTCACTTTCTGGTTTGGATCTAGGAGAAATTGTTAAAAAGATGGAAATCATGTTAACTAAAGGCCTGGGAACATTCAAAAAAGAAAAAACAAAACAAAACAGAAAAAGACTTTGCAATAGAATAAGGAACATTGTCCCATTATAAGCAAAAGCTGGGTCTCTGAATGAAGGGAAGTTTGTTTAAAAGGAGGATGGAGCCTGCCAAATATGATCGTCAGACAGGGCATGGAAGAAAGGAAGGTGGCTCTCTGCTGCCCAGCACAGTCTGGTTAGGTCACAGAGGTCACAGTGGGAGATAGGGAGACTGAGTGAAAAGCAAACCAGCAGGAGTGCCTGCTGAAAGAAAAGTTAAAGAACTTATTAAATGGGGTGATTTGTAAAGAAAGATAGTGCCTGGTGCATAGTAGGCATTTGACATAAGTTCACTGAAGTGATTTGGATTCCCCATGATTTCATCACTGTTACAATTTTAAAAACATACATTAAATACTCTATTTTGTGCCCTTTATTTCACCCCATTTCTTCAACTTGCCCACAAGGGTATTGTGAGAAATATTTGGTGAAGTACCTTCACAAGCTCAAGCAATATAGTGTCCAGCACTGGTTAGGAGGATGGACAGCAGCCTTCCAACTCTAAGGTTTGTGATTCTAAGAGTTAAGCCAGCAAACAAACATTTATTAAGCAGATAGTAAGTGCCTAGCACTGCTTGTTCCTTTTTAAATTTACTGCTAAAAACATTAAAATATTTGGTAAAGGAATTTATCATTACCCTATATCAGAAGTTAAGCTTTGCAGAACCCACACTATTACAGGAGATGGGTCAAAACACATTCGTCACAGATACTTTGCACTGACTAAACAGAATGAAATTAAAAATATTTCCTAACTTTTAGACATCAGGACGCAAAATTCCTGACAACCCGTAAGTCTTCTCTGGCCCAAGTAAAGACTTTTGATACACCAGATGTAAATTCTATAGCTATATTTGCAATGGAAAGAATGCTGGATTTGGAGTCGGGGAACTTGGGTTTGAGTCTTGGTTTTTCTACTTACTACCTGTGTGACTCAAGTAACCTCTTCCAATCTCAGCTCATGGGCAAAATGAGGGTTGGCCTTGACAACTTACTTCTATGGTACCTTCCAATCCTCTCTAGCTTCTCTACAATGTTATGATTATTTACGTACATCTTCAGTCCTCCTGGGACATAAGTTGCATAATTGCATCTATTCACTCAACAAACATTTGTTAAGAGCCTGCTGCATACAGAGCCCTGTTGGATACTGTGAGATACCAAGTTTAGCTACCACACTGTCCCTTCCCTTACTGAGACAGCACAACACTACAGTATCACTGCATTAAAAGTGCAAAATAAATGTTATATGATATCTGAGGAGGAAGGCTGCTGTTACTCACCAGGGGAATCAGGGAAGACTTGCTATAGGAGGTGCCATTTGTGCTCCATTTTGGAGAATGGCTAAGAATTCAACAAATGAAGAGGGGGGCAGGCACTCTAGGCTGAGGTAATAGTCTGAGTAAAGGTAACTCAAGAAAGCATGCACAGGGAGGTCAAAGAACAAAAATTCAACCTTTTTAGCTACGGTATAGAGGTTGGTAATATGGAAAAAAGGTGGGAAAGGTAGGATGGTTATGAATGTTCAGACAAAGGAGTCTCAATCAGACTTGGGAGGCCATAGGAAAGCACTGAAGATTTGCACGAAATATAATGATCATGTTATGTTGCACCATGCCCCTCATCCCTGGACAGCACATATTTACTGTATTGGATTTGGTTTGGGGGGGGTGCTCCAGTTTAGGAAGGATATTAAAATGAAAGAGGGCAAACAGGACTGAAAACCACGCATATAAGGATTCATTGAAGGAAGCGAGAATATTAAATCTAGAGAAGAGTCAACTTGGGACACGAGAGTAAGGGGAGTATGAAAGCTGTGGGTTATCACACAGAAGAAATATGAAGCTTCCTCTGCTAGGCCTTAACTCTAAGAGCAAAGGATGGAAGATGAAGAGAGGCAGATTTAGGTTCGATGTAAGAAAATCCTCCTAACAATCAGAGGTAAGTAACCAGATTTTAGAGGGAGGAGAAGATAGGTAATGATGAAGTGGAGAGCTCTGTGTGTGTGTGTGTGTGTGTGTGTGTGTGTGTGTGTGTGTTCAAGTTTAGTAAGAAAGAGCAGGAGAGAGGCAAAAAAGCTCAATGGACTAGAAAGGTCAAGAAAGCTTGCTTAACATTTAGGATACCTGATCATATTTATAAGCTGGTGAAAAAGAGTCAGTGGAAAGACAAAGATTGACAATGCACAAGAAAGGAAATCTCTGAGGAATCATGAGAAAGGATCTCTGGAACAAGATCCTTGAAGAGGCAAGAAGGAATGACTGAAGACCCTGGTAAATGGATATGCCTTATTAAGGAGTAGAGATACATCTTCTTTTGTGACCAGAGGGAAGGAGGAAAGAAGGAATGATGCTGCTGAGAAGTTCTGAGGAATAAGGAAGGCTGAGGAGAGTCATGTTGAATAGCCTCAGTCTTCTCAACGAAGCACAAGACCAGGCTGTATGATGTGAATTCAACACTAAGGGAGAAGAAAAAGGTGAAGGAAAGGAATGGAGAGAAAATTTAGAACAGATCCTGTGGGGGAAATGAGTGAGGGAGTCAATAAGGGTAGAACATAAGGACTATCAAGCAAGCAGCAAGGGTCTAGTTGAGACACTATAACAAATTTGTAATGGGTGAAGGCAGCCCAATTTGGTGATTTTCTCCATTGTTATTTAGCAGTCTTATAGAAGAATAATTTTAGAAGATGGCTAAGAGTTTAACAAAAGAAGAGGTATAGATTGGGAAGGGGTTGCCAAGGGATAAGGATTTGCAGGATAGGAATGGTGAAAGGTAGGAGAAGGATAGCATTGCCCCATGGCATCTTGCCCTGGGCCTCACACATGGTAGGTGATCTAGAAATACTTATTAAATAAATGCATAAATATGCAGTATTACCAAAAACTTCATCAAGTTTTCTAAATGATCCTGTGCAGACCTCAGAGAGTGAAGATATTTTCTGGTTTTCATCTCTTGGGAAACAATGCTGCTTTCCTCTTCCCTGACCCCATTCCCAGCTCCCCATCCTCAAAACTCTTTACAGCATGTTACACAAGAGTCTAAGTAAAATTGGTTTGACATCCACTGATTGTTTTCCTAGAGACTATTTTTTTTCCACATCAATCTTTCTTTAAGCTCCTATTGCATAAGATAAACACACTAACAATTCCAACACTGAACATTTTCTCAATAGTCCATTTCACCCACTTCTGTGATATGCTTGAGGATTTCATATTTTATGTACTCAACCAACACATCTCCAAACACAGAAGGTATCTCTATCCTGGGAACAAGTTCTACTCAATTCTTCCAAGGACTTAATATAATTAAAGGAGATGACTTGGGACAGTGGGAAGAGCACTTTACTGACTGGGAGATCTGGGCTCTAGTTCCATTTTTGTCATGACCAGCTGTGTGAACTTCCCCTCTCTGAACCCATTTCCTCTCCTCTAAAATAACTACAGAAGACTAGATGATCTTTAAGATCCTTTCCAGATCTAAGTCTACGACTTTGGAAACAGCACAGTGTAAGCTCCAGGAG